AAAAACAAGGGGACAAACCCCCCTTTTTTAATTTTTTTTGGATAAAAAAACACCCAGAGTGGTTCCTTCCCCCACTCAAAATTTGAGGAGCTTATTCACCCGGGGGGGGGGGGGGGGGGGGGGGGTATTTTATTTTCGCTATCTTTATAATAATATAATATAATTACATGTATTTTTCTTTATTTTTATAAACACACTTTTTTGAGGGGGGGGGGGGGGGGATGAAAGAAGGAATGCAGGAAAGTAGTGTGCTATATTGTACTAAGTTGTTGAGCATTCGAAGATACCGATATAGATACAACAATTGTGAGGCATCGTGGTGAAACCAGGCGCTCGTCAAAGTACATTTGTACTTAAATCAAAGAAATTGGCATTTCTCTGACCGTTGGGCAATTTTTTCTAATTTTCATTTTTTGGGTCAACACCTTTTTCATGTTTTTGGATTTTACTGAAAATCATCGATTGAAGTCACAACAAATGTCAATTTTCAGTTTCCAAGGACTCTCAAGCTATGGAAATTACCAAACTTTGGCGGCCATCTTCTCGCTAATTTCACCTCTGAAACCACGCGACCCTGACCTTCAAACTCATATATCTCTACTTCTATTCAACATAGATGAATATTTTTTTCACCAAAAGGAAGGCAAATAATCAGACTTTCAGATGATACAATAACCTCATATGCCCAAAACTTGACAAGCGCCTGATTCCACCACGTCGTGACTCTATTGTTTTTCATACAATGACCACTTAAGGGTTGTTGTTTTGTTTGTTTTTAGTAGAGTTTTTACGGCGCTCGCAACTGCATAAGGTGATATGAGCGCCAAGGGGTGGATATATAACACATAAGTCTTTACAGGGAATCAGGCTTATTCTGCTCACCTCTCTAGCTTCAACAGCACAACGTCTGCTTCGACTATCAAGGCACCCCGAAAATGGCGGGTCACAAGAAAGTGACAAACATACAAAAAGAAGTAGAGGAGAAAATGACGATAGCACGGATTAGGCAGGAGTTCCCTGTTGCAATTCCAGCACAGTTATGAGCATGACACTGATGAATTAGCCCATTTACAATTCTACTATGCAACAGAACATGTTAATGCCCCCCCCCCCCTTTTTGGGACCGGCCTTAAGACACTTCAATCAATAGCACCGCCCCAGGGGGTGTTAGTTTAGTTTAGTAAGAGCTTTACAGCACTTTCAACACAATTAGGTCATATACAATATAAAAGAAAAAGGAGAGACAAGGACAAATTGATGTTTGTTTGGCTAAGGAAAGAAGGAACAATTCACACGAGAGCACCTACCAACCACTCTCTGGTCAGGGACAGTGATATGGAACTAGATGTAGAGTCGTCTTTTGTGTATGTCTGTGTGTGTCTTTGTGTGTGTGCGTGTGAGAGAGAGAGAGAGAGAGAGAGAGAGAGAGGGGGGGAGGGAGAAAAGGAGAGGGAGAGAGGGTGGGATCGAGAGAGAGTGTGTGTGTGAGAGAGGTCTATCAAAAATAATCCTCCCTCACACACACACACACACACACACACACACACATCTATCTATCTATCTATCTATCTATCTATCTATCTATCTATCTATCTATCTATCTATCTATCTATCTATCTATCTATTGACCCCCCTCTCTGTCTGTCTAGTGTCTGTCTGTCTGTCTGTCTGTCTGTCTGTCTGTCTGTCTGTCTGTCTGTCTGTCTATCTATCTATCTATCTATCTATCTATCTATCTATCTATCTGTCCTTCTGTCTGGACGTCTGTCAGTGAGAAAAATTTGCAACGTGCGGAGCTGGTAAAGAATTATTTGGTACTACCTGGACTTTTTACTTTGGAAATGAGTGTATAATGT